AAGTTGACTCAGAAGGGAGCAAAGTTTCAATGGACTAACGCTTGCGAACGGAGTTTCATGCCTTAAAGCACAGATTAACTTTAGGACCGGTTTTAACGCTCCTAGAAGGGACCAATGGTTATGTGATATATTGTGATGCTTCAGGCGTTGGATTGGGTTGTGTGCTAATGCAGCATGGTAAGGTTGTGGCTTATGCTTCTAGACAACTAAGAAAGCACAATAAGAACTACCCGACCCACAATTTAGAGTTAGCCGCAGTGATTTATCCACTAAAGATGTGGAGGCACTACTTGTATGGCATTCATGTGTATATCTATATGGATCATAAGAGCCTCCAGTACATCTTCAAGCAAAAGGAATTGAATCTACGTCAAAAAAGATTATTGGAGCTACTTAAAGACTATGACGTTGATATTTTATACTATCCGGGGAAGGCACACAAAGTAGCTGACGCCCTCCGCCGTAGATCTATGGGTAGCCTATCATATTTACAGCCAGAAAAGAGGGGAATAGCCCATGAGGTTTATCAGCTAGCTAGTCTAGGATTTCGGTTACTGGACTCAGGTGATATTAGAATTACTATTCAGGATACGACAACATCCTCTTTAGTAACTGAAGTAAAGGAACTCTAGTACGAGGATCCTGTGTTAGTTCATTATAGGGATACCACCCTTCAAAAGGAGATGACACCGTTTGGAATTACAAAAGATGGGGTCCTCATATATCGAGGACGATTATGTTCCCTAATATTGCAGGGCTTCGTCAGTAGGCTATGGCAGAAACTCACTATTCTTGTTATTCTGTCCATCCAGGAGCGACCAAGATGTATTTGAAGTGTATTGGTGGGACGGAATGAAAAATGATATAGTAAAATTTGTTGCTCAGTGGCCTAACTATCAACAGGTTAAGATTAAGCATCAAAAACCCGGTGGATTATTGCAGGCTATGGAGATTTCTAGTTGGAAATGGGAAATAATCAATATGGATTTCATCGTGGGCTTACCTCGTACCCAGTGTAAGTTCGATTTAATATGGGTGATTGTTGATAGGCTTACAAAGTTAGCCCATTTTCTGCCCCTTAGGAATACATATTCCTTAGAGGATTATGCTTATATTAAAGAAATAGTACGACTACATAGTGTCCTTGTATCTATTATCTCGGATAGAGGAGCTCAATTTATAGCTAACTTCTAGAGGTCCTTCCAAAAAGTATTGGGGACTCAAGTAAGTCTTAGTACAACATTTCATCCCCAGACAGACGGACATGCTGAGCGTACTATTCAGACACTGAAAGATATGTTACGAGCTTGTGTAATAGACTTCAAAGGTAGCTGGGATGATCATCTGCCGCTTATTGAGTTTACGTATAATAATAGCTACCATTCCAGCATTCAGATGGCTCCATATGAAACTCTTTATGAACGGAAGTGTAGGTCGCCTATAGGGTGGTTCGATGTTGAAGAATCCGAATTACATGGGCCAGACCTAGTTCAGCAAGCCATAGAAAAAGTAAAATTGAATCGGGATTGACTGTTGACAGCTCAGAGTCGTCAGAAGTCATATTTTGACGTGCGGCAACGACATTTAGAGTTCGGGGTTGATGACTGGGTATTCTTAAAGTTGTCACCTATGAAGTGTGATGGGATTTGGAAAGAAAGGCAAACTTAGCCCAGGGTATATTGGGCCTTATAGGATCATTCAGAGAGTGGGAGAAGTAGCTTATGAGTTAGAATTTCCCTCAGAGCTGGAGTCTGTCAATTCGATTTTTCATGTATCTATGTTACGGAAGTGCATTAGCGATCCTACCCGAGTGGTGCCCACGGATGATGTACAGATTACAAAGGACTTGTCATATGAGGAAATTCCAGTTTCCATCCTAGACCGACAAATCCGCAAGCTACGGAATAAGGAGATAGCCTCCGTGAAAGTACTTTGGAGGAACAACAATGTGGAAGAAATGACTTGGGAGGCCGAGAAAGACATGAAGTCTAGATATCCCTACTTATTTCCTCCTCTAGAGAAGGGTCCGACTGAGATGTCATAACCATAAGGTACGTGTGTAAATTCTTGTGTTGGTTATTGTCGTTGGTCATGTGAGGCCATTGTCGTTAATCATAATTATAGTCCTGTGTGGCATTGGGTTATTAAGATTCTACGGGGAGAGTTGGTAGTAGTGTTGTTACAAAGGAGACCCTGCCAAAGTTATATAGATGACGGGGAGTTGAACATTCGAGGATGAATGTTTCTAAGGGGGGAAAGATGTTACATCTCACATTTTCGTATGTTAAAAGTTTCGGTTAATTGACGTAGATTCGGGGATGAGATCATCTTGACGTTAATGTATTTACGCTAATTATAACAAGCGATAAATAAGTGTTATGAAAGATAAAGGGGTACACAAATTAAAGAAAACGAGTTTAGTTGAAAGTGGCCAATTTGGAATAAAATACGGGTCGAGCGATAATACCCGATAATTATGAACTAGTACCATGCAAGGTACCATATGACCACGTTAGTATAATGTATAAAGTATATAAAAAATAAGTAGAATTTTAAGTAATTTGTGGCAATTTTTAAATTATGCGGGTAATTAGTTAATTACCAAGTAACGAGACATTACCCCGTTAACTAATAAGTGGATCAAAATTTATGAATTAAATCCCCAAAACGTGGCAAGAAGCCACAAAAAGCTAGAAATGACTAAGCAGTCATATAGTCTAGGTAACAATCTAGGAATTGGAATTGAATAAGAAAAAATTGTCTTGTTCCATTCATTTTTAACAAAGTAGAACCAAAAAAACGTCAAAATCCTAACAAGAGACATACTTCTTCATTTTTTCTAGTTCAAAGATTTCAAAGAACACAAACTTAATTCGTTCCAAAATTTTCAAAGAAACGGAAGCTTGATTTGTTCAAGACTTCGCGAGCAGAAGCAAGATTCAATCCGATATTTGGGGTTCCAAATTTAATCCATGAAGGTTTCCAACGAAAATTGTTAGAATCGTAGTAACGTAAAATTTTGCGGTTACAAAAGAATACGGGGCAATCTTAGCCAAGAATATTATACGGAGTTTTTACCTACTCCAGGTATGTTAAGACCATCCCTTCTTTCTTTTGGTATGGTCCAAATTATACTGAAGAAACGAGCAAACGCACAGTTTCCGCAAATTACTATATTCATAGAAATACTAGGGGTATCTATATTCTTGATTTCCCATGTGAATTATTATTATCTTCTGTTCATGGGTCTTAGAATAATACGCAGTTGAAAAAGTTTATCCGGAAGGAATATTGAAAAAAATTTCCATATTTTTCATGCTTAACCCATGACCAGATGACATTATATACGCGTATATATATATAAATATATGTATATGGGATATGGGAAAAGGTTACGGCGTTATATACGCACCACCACCTGATCAGCTGGTATATGTTGATGATGTATCCCACAGTGGCCGAGACGATATGATGGGATGCCCTCAGTGGCTTAATGATAATATGTACACCCATACCTATGCATGACAAGACATTTATATGCACGTGCATGACATTATAAATATTTCGGAATTTACAAAGTTATTCAGATTTAAAAATGTGTTTCTTTATTCCATGTTTCATCTATTTCTTCTACGTACTAATTTTCATGCCTTACATACTCAGTACATTTTTCATACTGACGCCCTATTTCACGGAGCCTGTGTTTCATGCCCGCAGGTGCAGTTAGGGAAGCTGACGGTCCCCCTTCTTAGGATCCTTAGTCAGCGAGAGTTGGCGTGCTCCACTTGATCCGGAGCTACTTTTGATTTTGGTACGATATGTTTGTATATAAATGGGTATGACGTGGCTCAGTCTCGTCTTTATACAATTATATTTCTATTAGAGGTCTGTAGACAGTATGTCTAGTTGGGTTGTATGTGTCCTTGTCGGCTTTCAGCTTTGGATGTATAGTTGTCTATTGCAGCCATGCCAGTTTGCCCATTGTATTCTGTATGTATACGTACATATGCCTTGTTGATAGGTTTCCTTTACATATGTTATTTTCATAATTTAGTAGATGTTATTCAGGTTCATATCTTAGATGCATGCTTAGGGGTGTTTGACAGGTAAGACTCAGGCACCCGTCGCGGCCCAGCAGTTTGGGTCGTGACAGGTATGTCAACAAAGAGGGAACACTTATTGAGCGATTCCTTGGTATTGTTCATGTTAAAAAACAACTTTATCGTCATTGCAAAAAGCAATCTATGATTTTCTTTTAGCGCACTCATTGAGTTCGTCTCAAATACGGGGACAAGGTTATGATGAAGCTAGTAACACTCAAGGAGAAATCAATAGTCTTAAAACTTTAACTCTGAAAGATAATCCTTCGGCCTATTGTATATATTGATTTTTCCATCAATTGCAATTGACTCTTGTAGCCATTGCAAACAAACATTCTGATGTAGATCAATCATTAATGTACGTGAGTTTCTTCGGGATATGCTTCAAGAGGATTGTTGCTAATGTCTTTAATATTGATGGAAGTTCTCGTCAATCATTAATGTATGTGAGTTTCTTGCAAGTGAGGGTAATAATTAGCTTGAGAGATCTGTGGCAAAAAGTCTAGCGAATGACATAAGATCTTTTGAGTTTGTGCATATTATGCATTTGATGTTAAAATTATTTTCAATTACAAATGATTTGAATATGGCTTTGCAAATAAAAGATCAGGATATTGTAAATGCTATGAAGCTTGTTAGTTTCGCCAAAATGAAATTGCAAGTGATGAGAGAATCTAACTGGGAATTTTTGATGGATTACACCTCTTCATTTTGTTCCAAGCATGATATCGTGATCCCTGAAGTAGATAAGAACTATCATCTTCGAAAGACAAAGCGTAGGAGTTCAAATGTTACATATTCTCATCATTTGCGTGTCGAAGTTTTTAATACTGTTATTGATTTGCAACTTTCGGAGCTTAACGATTTTTTGATGCGGTGAATAGTAATCTACTTCTTGGTATGGCTAGTTTGAGTCCGGATAATTCTTTTGCAAATTATGATAAAGATAGAATTATGAAACCTGCTACACTTTATCCTCATGAGTTTAGTAGTTCAAAGATTGAAGATCTCAGCTACGAGCTTGACAACTATATTCTCTTTGTGAATGAAGACAATGATTTCTCTAACTTGAAAGGACTTGGAGATCTTTCGGAAACACTAGTTGAAACAGATTTGTACAAGACTTGGAGACTTATTTTTTTGCTTGTGAAGTTAAGTCTGATGTTGCTTGTCGCTATTGCAATGGTAGAAATAGCTTTTTCTTCAATGAAGTACATCAAAAATGACTTGCGTAGAGGAATTGGTGATGAATTTTTGAATGACTGTTTAGTTTGTTATATAGAAAATGAAGTATTTGAAAGTGTACCTAATGATGTGATTAATGATTGTATACGGTGAAATTGGAGGGTCCAATTCCTCATCATCGAGGCACCCATATGATCATCTCGAAGGCTCGAGGCTGTAAGGCTATGGTCGAGTTTCCTCCGTCAAGGTTCGTCGACGCTCAACCTAAAGCTAATGTTGACCGTGGTTGTGATAAAAGTGGGGAGTTTCCAATGTACACGGCTAGGACTGATAGAGCCTAGTGGGCTACCCTAGCCCTGAATCAGGGTGTCATGTAGAAGTACCATCCCTCTATATTTGTAATTAATGCATTTTGTACTATATTAGGATTCCCCTCACATATAAAGGGGATCCTTATCATTTGAGAAATCTCTGTTGCTTCAGTTGCTCCACATGAAATATACAAGAACATTCTCTTTGCTCTCTAACATATTCTCTTGATATTATTGATTTCATTTATTATCTTCATTGTTGTTCATCATTTATTGCTTATCATTGGCCATAAAGAGCCTTTGTTGATTTTATCATAACTGTTAACCATACTTCGTCCACCTTCGATAGCTCCCAAACGAGCCTCAGGATCGACCTCGAGGGCCCTAAATCGACAAGCTCGAGGCCCCGATTATTGACCTATCGGTTTGATTATCACCCTATCTCCAACTCCCATTTCATTTTTCAGTCTCACGTACATAGCATCAACTGCTTAACAACTAGCATAAAAATAGATCACGTATTTTTAGAGCCCCATAATCAAATTTAATTGTTATTACCATTTTCATGGTAAACAGTTTGGTGCCCACCGTGGGGCTAAAAATAATAGTGATTATTTTTTTGCTGGTTTTACTACATAACACAAGTTATCTTTCACGCTTTCTCTTGTCCAAGATCTTCGATTTCAGGTCAAAATGTCTAATTCAGTGAATGGAGGCGAAAACAACAATCTTGAGGACCACGGGGAAAACGGTGTGGCTGTTCCAGGTGTTGGTGTGCCACCACAAAATCCTGGAAATGCACCAGAGCCAGTCCCCGTGGACGCAGTCTCACGCAACGCCCAACACATCGACATAAGCTCCCATACTGACAGGAGCGTGCACCAAGGGGATCAACAAGAAGCTCGAAAACCCCAACTAGGGAACAACGAGAGGTTAGCCTTCATGTTATTTTTGAAATGTTGCAGGCACAACAACTGGCTATTACTCAGCTGTAAAGTCACCAGAAACTCCTAGCACAGTAGCACCGGGGACAGCTCTCCATCTAAACAGGTACCGGAGAGATCGAGTAACAACGGGTCGATGATCGATCCCGTCTTCATAAAAATGCTCGAGGACCTCACCAGAAGGATCGAATCGGGTGAGAAAATGATAGAGGCCAGCGATAAAAAGGTCAAAATCTACAACTCTAGGGTCGACCAAATTCCGGGCACACCCCTGGTCCTGAAAGGTGTGGATTCGAAGAAGTTCATACAAATGCCGTTCCCAGAGGAAGCGACTCTGAAACCCATCTCGAAGAAGTTCAGAATGCCAGAACTCCCAAAATACAATGGGACCTCAGACCCCAATGAGCACGTTACTGCTTACACTTGCGCAGTGAAGGGAAACGACATGAATGACGACGAGATCGAGTCCGTCTTGTTAAAGAAGTATGGGGAAACACTCTCGAAGGGAGCCATGATGTGGTATCACAACCTAGCTCCTAACTCTATAGACTCATTTGCCATGCTGGCAGACTCCTTGATAAGGGCACATGCCAGTGCCATTAAAGTGGCAACAAGGAAATCTGATGTGTTCAAGATCAAGCAGAGGGAGAGTGAAATGCTACGATAGTTCGTATCTCAATTTCAAATGGAACAAATGGAACTAGAGGTGTGAATGAACGAAGCTCGGTGGCGTCAATGCAATTGAAATAGAATTTGGTCGAGTATCCCGTTGTGGCCTGGTTGGACGTCCGCAACCGATACCAGTCAAAGATCAGGGTCGGGGATGACCAACTAGGAGCCCTTTAGGGATCAGTATACCCAAGTAGGCTTCTGGAGAAGGAGCCAAAGCTAAATAAAGAAAGATATCAGCCATACACCAAAGACAGAAGGAACACCCCTAGGCGCAACTCACCTCATGACAATTGAATGATGGACCGAGAAAATTTTTTTGGGGGACTCATCAACAGAGTCGGATTTGATAGGAATGCTGGGCCAACGGGGGCACCGCGCTTATCAGAATACAACTTCAATGTCGATGTATCGGACATTGTGTTCGCCATTAGTAAAATCAGAGATGCCAGATGGCCCAGGCCTGTACAATCAGATCATTCGCAAAGGAATCATAACTTAGTGTGTGAGTTTCACAACACGCACGACCACATGACCAAGGATTGCTACCAACTTCGAGAAGAGCTAGCCTGACTACTTAACAAAGGTCATCTCCGGGAATTCCTCAGCGACCAAGCCAAAAATCAGTTTCGAGAAAGAGAGGCGGTCAAGAAGAACGAAAGAAATGAGCCACAACATGTCATCCATATGATCTCAGGAGGCGTCGATGCCCCATAGGATCTCGTAATGAGAAAGACAAATCCATCACTAGAGAGAAACGAACCCGGGGGTATATACCCGAGGATGCCCTCACATTCAACGAAGAGGACATCGAGACCTTGTCTCAACCCCACAATGATGCACTGGTAATCTCTTTCCTTGTAAATGATTTTCAAATAAAACATGTACTCGTGGATCCAGGTAGCTCGGCTAACATTATCAGGTCGAGGGTAATAGAGCAGCTCGGACTGCTTGACCAAATTGTGCCCGCCACTCGAGTCCTCAACGGATTCAACATGGCAAGTGAAACAACGAAAGGAGAAATCAGTCTCCCAGTCAACGTGGCCGACACAACTCAACATGTCAAATTCCACGTCATTGAAAGAGATATGAGGTATAACTCCTTGTTCGGGAGGTTGTGGATACACTGCATGAGAGCAGTACCATCCACCCTCCACCAAATGATGAAATTCCCGACAAAGGATGGGATTAAAACTGTCTATGGGGAACAGTATGTGGCGAGGGAGATGTTTGTGGTGCACGATGTGGCACCGGTACCTTTACCTCCACTCGCAAAAGAACCAAAGGGTAATCAAGCTGCATCTTTGATTAAGCCCGATTAAACAAAGCAAAGGACTGTACCGCATCCTCGTCTCGAGTAACTGAGACATATCGAACCTCAAAACATCGTCGGCACATCTCACACTAAGTTATAACTTTCTCCCTTTTCATTTTATATTTCGTACTAACCCTTATGCAGGCCCCCGACCGAAGCAGTCAAAGTGCTAACCCAGATCGAAGACCTTAAGGTTTTAAAGCATCCGTTGTACTCTTTTCCTTTAGCCGAGTTTTTGTCCCGAAAAGGGTTTTATCGACAAGGTTTTTAACGAGGCAACATCCACGTGCTACCTAAGGAAGACTCAACAAGTATTCAAGGTTTCTTTTTCAATCAACCTCGAACACTGAGGGGCATTCCCAGGGAAGACCAGCCACTCAAAAAAGCCAAGAAATAACAAACAGGGTCCTAATAGGAAAATGATGTACCGGGTCAAACGGTCGAACGAACTGTGTCCGTATAGCCAGGGCTCGATGGCGGAAACGTGTATAGTTGTACCAAATAATTAAAGAATATCTTGTATCAAAGCATCTCATACTCCAAAAGAAGCTCGGCATCTCCGCAAAAATGACTTCTCCACAAAAAATATCCCGAGCACTCAAGGACTAGCGTCAATAATTCAACACCTGAACTACCTCCGGGTCGGGACTCCAAGCTCATAAGACCTCAATGAGGCAACATGAAAATCACGAAACACCTCCAAGGCCAAAGTGCCCCGAATACTCGAGGACTGGCGTCAAAATCTCAAAAAATGCACGACTTCAGGGTCGGAATCTCCGAAATCGTAAACCCGCAATGGGGCAATACAGAGTTTACAAGTAACGGCTTCCGAGCCAAGATACCCTCGATGACTCGGGGATTGTTGCCAATCGCCATTCATTAAAAACCCGAGGCCATAAGACCCCGAGCGGGCAGACTCGGTCTCGTAAGACCTACATAAGGCAGTAACAATATCTGCAAAACCTCAAGCAAGACATGAACAATACTTGTACCAAGAATCCAAAACTGTAAGACCTCAAAGGCATGTAAAACTTGTAAGACCTTACTAAAGGCATAAACCCGATCTCAAAGTTTCGGTTATATATCGAACTTGTAACACCCCTAAAAAGGCATACCCTTGATATAGATGCCGAAACTACTTCAATCGGGATTCAAAGGCTCCAGCCGAACACAAATAAATCCGATCACAAGGCTGTACCAGCCAAACTAACGCGACTCGGGGATGCCTGACCGTCGTTACAAAATCACAAGCCTTCAATTACTTCGAATCTACTTCGAAAAGAACCGGTTAAATAGGCTACCCTAGATATAGGAAAAAGAGCTTCGACCATGTCAGCTCCTAAACATTGGTTTCGAGATACTCAGCCTCCAAGCCAAACCTCTTGAGGTGCTCGATCATCGCCATATAACGACTCACAATCGAGGATTTTTATTAAGCCGTCGAAGAGTCAAACAAACACTATTTCAAAGAATCCTTATCGAGGGAAAAATAAAACCCACATAAAAGGTCATTTTGACCCAAGGCGTAAGAGCCACTATCGCCAGCCCACATATATAAAAGGCCGCATCTGCCCAAGGCGTAAGAGCCATTATTGCCAACCCACACGAATATGAAACTTGAGGATCGAATGAGCTCGAGTCGTAACCCGATTTAGAGATTGAACCCAAAATAGTTAACTAAATATGCCTTAGAGCAAGGGGTAAGAGCCATTGTCGCCAGCCCACACTAAAAGACCGCATCGGCCCAAGGCATAAGGGCCATTGTCGCCAGCCCACATAAAAGGTCACATCGACCAAGTGCGTAAGAGCATGCGGGCCAGCCTAATGAGCCCTAGGGCCATATCATGACTCTAAAGATTCCTACCAACTCAAAGACCAGTTCACCTGGCCAAATTCAAGACAAAAAGAGATACAAAAGAAATAAAGCTGTAAGGTTTTCTTTTATACACATATGCGAAAAAATGCAATCTCCATCTACAAACATGCTTTGAAAATGCTACATGCAGATGGCAAAATCTATGCTCCCCCGGGGGCTACGGCCTGCTGGACTCATCTACACTTTCTTCAAAATCGGGCAAAAGTAACCAAACATCACGCCAGTTCGCCCTCGCTCGCGCCAACTCTTTTGAGAGGGCAAAAACCCTAGCACGGATCTCCTCTAGGGTCTTTCTTCGAGATTTTCAACGAGCGTATTCTTCAATCCTTTCTTCGCGGTCGAGGATCCTTCCCAGCTCAGCTTGAGCATCAGCAACATCCTTTGAATAGATAGCAATCTACTGGTCAGCCTTAGTTCGACTCATTACAGCTTCAGCCCGGGCATCAACGATCTCAGCCCTGACCTTCAAAAGCTCGGACTCGAGCTTCGTAATCATTTTTGTCTAAACCGGAGCGTTATATCGAACTAGGCAAAGTTGAGCCTCAAAAGCGGGAACTTTAGCCAGAGCACCCTTCCCCTCTAAAGCTTGAGTCCCCGCCCGAGCTTTTAGCTCATCATGCTCACGCCTGGCCCGACCAACTTCATCCCAAAGGCGCTCTAGGGCCTCCATATTTTTCTATAACTGAAATAAACAAAGAATTAGCCTCGGAAACTAGAAGGAGAAATGTACACTCACTCGTAACAAAGAAATTACCTGCTCCTTCAAGTAGCTCTCATAATTCAAGCTCCGACCCACCTCATACCGCAAGTATACCAACTTGACCTCCTTTTCATTGAAAAGGAGCCTAAGGGATCTCTCCTCATCCAGAGCTTTCCGCAGACTGACTTCATGACGAAGCAACCGAGACTTAAGCTTGTCGAAGGCCTGCAAAAGAAAACCAAATGAGGAAGGGAAGGCACGAAGCTTGAAAGGCCCGTGCCAAAACTCACCACAAAGTGAAGTTGTCGGGCTTCCTCGAAGGCCGAGTGCTCACCTACCAATCCAGTTCCCTCAGCTCTGAAAGAGTCGACTCCGGCCGAGGCACGGTCGCTCAGTGTATGCGACCCTAGGTTTCTAGTATCTCCCGAAGTACTGTCGATGGAAAAAGAAAGCGATAACAACGGAGAAACCTTCTTTCCAGAATCAAGAAGCATGGACATGGTAGGCTCGGATGATCCTTCCGCTCCGAAGCCCCGATTCCGTTTTGCCTTGCTTTGAGCATCATCGCCCTATAAAAGCG